TTGGTCTGGCTTAGGTTGTTGGCAATTGAAATGTTAGTCTTTATCCAGACCACTTCGGTTTAAAAAGTAATTTTATTCAAACCAATTTTTCGTTGGTATGAAATTAAAATTGTTTAGACAAGATTTTTTCAAACTGAATATTTGGATCAATAATGGTCTGCATAAATATATATTTAGACCAATATTCACTATTTTCAAACCAATATTTCAATCTGAAAAATGGCTATTTCTGATAGTGTCTTTCCTTGCACACCTTGCTGCAAAAATTTAATTTAATGAGTGTAAAGTTAATGAACTGTTACAAAGTTAATGAACATAAAATGTTACACTTATAAGATGTTGGTCTAAAATAAATGTCAAATCTATACCAGTGTGATTTGATAGATCATTTGGTAAGCATTTGAAGAAGAATGTCCATGAGCTTGTACACTCTAAATCAACAATAGCCAATGATATTGGAAACATTTGATTGTTCCCATCCCTTGCATCAACTACTAAAAAGGTTCCTTTACACATCCCTTTAAGAAAACAAGCATCTACTCCACTCACTGGTCTACAACCCAATAGAAAACCCTTTCTACATCCTTCTAAGCAGATATAAATTTCCTTAAATTGTGGCTTTCCTCTTAGAGTTGTGGGTGGCTTAGCATTAATTTACACATTCGACTCAAGTGACAACCTCAATAGTTTTTCTGCATACCCTCTCAACTGTGCAAATTCTTTTATGTAAGTTTCCTTCATCTCCTTCAAAATCTTAGCCTTTACCAATCTACACCTATCCCTTGAGACATGAACCCCCAATTCTAAATGTGAAAGTTTGACTAACTCATTAATTTGGATGTTTGGATTTGCAACAATTATATTCTTGTGGTGTTTTGTAAGAACCCTTGACCCAACTGTCACGCCCCAAAACCCAAATTCGAGGCGCGACAGACGCCGTGCACTCGTGAGACGGGTCCCACAAATGCACAAGGCTCGAAACTTATCAAATTCACACTCTGATACCATCAAAATATGAAGATCAAATTATAAAATCTTTGTAATATCATAAATCTACAATAAAATCTCCAAATACAAGATCATGATTTATATCTAAAATTTATATCCAATTACAATATGGTTAGCCTTCTAACTCGTCACTTCCCGTGATTTCCCCGTCCTCGGTTTCACTTCCTGAAATGGTGGACAAGGAAAACTATGAGATAAACTCAGTAAGTAAATATGGAGTGCCCCTTATCAAACTTAAAGCATGCCAACAGGTACAATCACGAAAACAGATACAGTACGAGCACGAAATAGACGTCTCCTCTATAGGTCACGGCCAGCGTTTATAAACCTCCCACTGGCAGGCACACGATTTGCTGGTGTATAACCCCCACTAGCAGGGTTGAACGAACCTGCTCTTTCACTAACATGTCGACATGTGCTAGCATTTATAAACCTCCCACTAGCGGGCACACGAATAACATGACCATATCGGAGACAAAACAGGCAGAAGTTAACAGGCAAATCACAATTCACAATCACTTTCAGATCATCAAGACAGTTCACAATCACTTTCAAGTAGGCATGCTCAATTTAATGAAAAAAACATAAAACATTTCACTTCAAATCAGTCATGCTCGTGTAAAACGGGTTTAGTCCCGTCACCACTTCAAAAACAAATCAAAACATGCTTTTAAAATAGTACGGGCATTACCATAAATTTACTTACCTCACTCGCATAAAACCGAGCACTCAATCTCGATGCTAACTGACAGAACGATCGGGAACCTAATCAAAACACCTCAAAATTAATACTGGACCATCACAAATTCAAACTGAAATCATCAAGATCACTCCTAATCCCGATGCTATTCCTATCAATCTCCACATTATCAGATATCTCCAAATCATTCTCATATCACAAACTAATCATTTAAATCCCCGTTAATTGTTGACTCTCGTGGTGTGAACAATGCCTATGAACAGTACCCGTGAACAGTACCCACGACGTGAACAGTAACTCCCACTTCCAAAAATTGGCCGATACACTAGCTAATCACGGGTTTTCCTCCAAAAATCACACAACAATCAATTAACACTCAATCACATAATCCCACTTTAATTAAGCTAAATCATGGTCCTAAAGCTATCAGAATTTCCCCCATTTTTCCAACAAAATTCGGACATACAAGGGCAGCAAACAATGGACAAATTCGAGCTTAAAGAAGTGGCCCTCATACCAGAATTTAGCAGCTGCAGAACCGGGCCTAGCAAGGGGGAGAAG